GTTCAAAACGTTGTGCTGTGTCCATTTCACTGCAAACCAAGGCAATCAGGAGTTAGTTTAGAGTCCCCGGAACTAGAAAATATCCCCCAAGTTCCCGGAAATGAAGTCGAAGTTGGTCAAAATCGCGATGCACGTAAGGCGGTCTCGGCTACTCTATCAGTCTTAAAGTGAGGTGGGGCTCTATTTCGGCTTAAAAGCTCTAAAGTGAGGGTTTAAAAAGTTTTGCTGTGTCCATTTCACTGCAAACCAAGGTAATCAGGAGTTAGTTGAAATTCCCCGGGACTGGAAAATTTCCCCCAAGTTCCGGGAAATCGAGCCGAAGTTGATCAAAATCAAAATTACCATACCATTGGGAAGGGGACATTACAACTGAGATCACTCATAAAGCAAAACGACTCGTGAGGCAAATGAAATTTCCAGGCTCCATGAGATGCATGTGCTCTTTTTGACATCGCCTGATCAAAATTTAATTGCCCTCAGAGAAAAGGGGATACATCAGATATCACTTTCAAAGTACTCCCCGAGTTCCCACAAGTTCATTTTTTGGGCTAATCATGGAGGGTTTAACTTGTTAAAATTAGAAGATTAAGGATCCAAATCACTCTGGATATAATTTTGCGTCTACTTAAGGAATTGCCCGTTCATAATTCGTTTTTAATGAAGCGCGAGATACACGCGTGCTTATCTCTCGTTCCGCGCACTCACGCGCTCTCCGCGAGACTACCTCATTGCGCGTCTCGATGGAATTGTGGGAGATACATCCAAGATGGCGGACGAAACAGCAGAAAAGGTTTATTTAATTTATTTGACGTGGCTTCTCTCAAATTGGTAAGTATGGAGATACACACAATGCAGTTTTAAAAAGATATTTAAAGTTTCAGTTGTAGCACAGTTGCTACACGTTTAAGATTTATTCCACAATCTTGACAACAAAGCTTTCTGGGATAAAATCTACAAATCTAAATTTTGCCGGGAATTATGCCGGCGATCAGTGTAATCGATGATCGCTAAAAATCGATAGAAATCTTTGGAATGAATAAATCTTTTAGTAACACCCGTTGGAAATCAACCATTCGTCCATAAGCTTACCTCACAAGAACGTTAGCTTATACTAGGGGTATGGGATAAATTTGGCCTTTGCTCGAATTGCTCGCAATAAAATAATTAGATGAGTGCTCGCTTGCTCGTGCTCGCAAAAGTTTTGCTAGTGCTTGCATGCTCGGATTCCCGTTAAGGTGACGCAAAACAATTTCCAGCACTTTCCAAGACTTAGTTTTTGATCGGTCATTATAAACACTCAGTATAAGTTGGTGCAATAATTATGGCATCAAAAAACTGCCCAATCATTGGTGCATGAATACGTTATCATTTTCGTGACAGGATAGGTTACCACATAGTAACAGTATGTCCTGCTAAAAACACACTTAATTACAGCTTTGAGGGCTTATAATTAAAAAAAGGCATGGTGAAATTACTTCGATAAACAGGGTAAGATGCAACTTTTGGTGCAGTTTAAAAAAAAAACTCTACATGGGGATTAGAGCCACCTTAAAGTTTTCAAAATTTAAGGTGGCTCTCAGATCCCTATGTACAGAATTCTTTGCAAAAGGTGCTCGCAAAGGTAGAACGTAATATAGAGACATGAAGACATGATGAATATTACTATATTTATACTTTTTGACCTTCAGGGCTTGTCAGATCTGTATGATCCCAGAGGTCTCCAAATGAAGCTTTATTGCATTAAATCTTTTTCAGCCTGTATTTTCACGAAAGATGTTTACCTTGGTTTTGTTTTAATTTTACTGAAGTGAATTTTTCAATCGTGTAAACACTGAGTAGCAAACCTTGGCAAATGGTGGCAAAATCAAAAGTAAGCCAATCTTGGTTTGTCGACAGTTGAACACCTCATCAGGCATGGTTTAGCTCAGTAACCAACAGTAACAGAGGAAAAGCAGACGTTGTCGCGACATCTTGGCAGCTAGTGTTCACATGTTCAGTGCATAAAGAGGAGAAAAATAGACAAAGATTGCTTTTAATATAAGTAGGTTTCAAGTCAACTGGAAAAAAAAGCTAAATTAACCCAAATTTAGGCAAAGAAATCCCAGACTGCTGTTACCTGTTCATCGTCAAGAGCCATGAGTGTTTCCTTTCTGGTAGAAACTCAGTAACTTAGTAGCAGGGCACAGGCAGGGCACAACTAGAAGAAGACCTACCACAAAGGGAGAGAAGAAAAGCAAATGTTAGAATTTAAAGCGGCCCCGAATAACAAGAAGAACTGGTAAACGTCTACGTAGCCCGGGCGTCATTGCAGATGCCTTTTCGGTTTCTTTGTGGGAAGAGCCGGCTCTGAGCAAGATATCAAAATTTTCTTTGCACTATTCATCTGCAAAGCTTTACATTTATGGAGAATTTGGCTCAACTTCACTTCCTGAAAATTGACAATGACCTGTGTTTGGCATTGGAGTAAAGTCAGAAATTTTATAATTTTCCAGTTTATAAACTTTATTGGGCAAAGACTGTAAATATATATTCCAATTAAAGATAAGAATAATATTATTATAAATAATAGTTTCTGTGCAACATTGCAGCACTTGCTTTCCAAGAAAACCTAAAAACATCTGTTGTATGCAGCCTACTCTAGTTAATTAGTTCCATGTAAACGGTTTCTCTAATAACTGTGATTTAGTTACAAAACCTTGGTGAGCAGTAACCATAGTAAACCTCTCTCATGAAAACACGGCATCAGTCAATCAGAGGGAAATCAGGTTGGACAGTTTGCTGATCATCATTGAAGCTGAAAGGCGAAATGTCTGTCAGACTAAATGCCACATAGCTTACATTTCCTAAGAATTATATAACCAACAAAACCATCCATGTCATGACACTTTTAAGTCTGGTACCTTTTAGCTTCTTCTCATGGTGTGTTAATGTTCACAGCATCGGTTTAGAAAGCTTAAGATTTTCTTTGAGCATCTACCCACTGAAGCTCACTGACACTGACTTACGTGAAGCTAGGTGATGTAATGTTGCATCAAACAAGGTATAATTGCTGTTAGCTGCTGAGATTGGTTGAACCGTGATTGCGCCCATTGACCTGTTTTGGGGGTGTCAGCCAGATTACTTAGTGTAAAACAATGTTTCCCTTAATAAAAGAGAGAATTAATCCAGCTAGTGGGAAATTTGCAAACTTCAAGTTTTTTTTTTCTTTTTTTTGCAAAGTGCTCACTGCTTACCATCTGTATTTTCTTAAGTGCTCACTGCTTGCAAGACAAATTTGATCACTGCTAGTGTGCTTGCAAAAATAAACCCACTGCTTGCATGCTTACAAAGACCATTTGATACCCCTGATACTTGTTCAGATTTCTTATATCAGCTTAAGCTTGAGCTGAATACAGCAGTTTTCTTACATTGGGCCATTCCATTTTTTATCTGCACCCTGTACCCCCCACCCCCCATTGAGGTACCAGGAAATCTGGGGGGAATGGGGGGCGGGGGTGGTCTTTAAAGGCCATTTCTGAGGAGGAAATTGTGTTGATTCCTGTGATTTTTTATAAACTCTGAAAGGGGAAGTGTGCCAGCACTTTGATCTTTCTTTCTCTTTCTCTGTGGATTGAAAAGTTTACTTATCTGAGGGGGTAAAAGTCAAGGTACTTCAATAGATGGGTAGGGGAGGGGATATTTAATGGAATGGCCCATGCTGAATTTAGAAGCTGATTGATTACATCTTAAAAACAAGGGCTCATTCTCCTTTGTGTCCAAGGCCAGGAGAGATCTGGTTATCAGTAAGGGTTTAGATTTTGCAATTGAAATCTGTGACATCAGTGTTGCCAGTTGGTGATCAGTGGTTTAATGAGCTGTGTTATACAGTAATCAAGAAATTATAGGACAAACCTAAAAATTTGCTTAAATATGAGTAATTTTGTGGCATTGTTTGTATCAGTTGTTTTGTAGGGCCTCAAGAATTTCCACTTCCTGATACATTCATTAATCCTTCATTTCAAGTTGCACATTATTTATGGTGAGTCAGATCTCATCATTGACTTCTGTTGTTAGTTAAACTTCATTTACTTAGCAACTTTGATTTGAGCAGTTAATGTTATTGTTGTAGTAACTTGAAGAAATAATCACTTAAGTAGCTAGCTCCCTTAATATACTTGTAGTCATATCCTCAAGGAAAATATGTTAGTCACCTGGCCATCAATTTTTTTTTGTATTTTATCAAGTGCAATCGATTTACTCATGATGTATGTATTTTCAGGGAAGGGAAAACAGCTCAAATAATTGAAGAACTCGATAAGGTGCACAAACCCTCATACATTTTGGCAACTCCAGATCATACATTATATATATCAAGGTAAGGTTACACTGGCATGGTGTGGCAGAAAAGTTAACAAGACTTAATCTTTGAAAACATGATAACTGTGGTAATACAGTCCTCAAACTTGTTCCCTGCTGTTCCCTAAAAATTAGAACCGTTTCAGTACTTGACTAACATCTTTGAATTTCATTTCTTTCTTATAATTGGGATTCAATGACAGCTTTTTACTTGATCAGGTAAGAAAATTTTCCTATCACTAATAATTTCATTTTCCTGAGACTAGCGACCACTCAGTGCTCTCTATTCAGTTGAAAATAATTTGTCATAGGCCAGCATCATATCCAGTGTGCTGTGTCACTGAAGCTGTTTGGGTGCATTGCAGGCCTATGCTAACTTCTTAACAGTATATATTAAACAGTAGCAAGTCCATTGGGCATAGAAGTATGTTCTGGTGTTTGTCTGTGGACATTATCTGTTTTGAGAAGTGAACTCAACAGTTTTCTGATCATGAAAGCATAGCTTGAGGAAAACTGTGAGCTTTGAGGAACAGATTATCTCCAAGGACAAATTTTGGAGCTTATTTTTGCACCAAAATGGAGGCAGTTGTGTTTATTATCCTTCAAATATTTTTTGCAGCAGGTGCAGTTGTGAAAATTGGGGAATATCACTTGGATATTCCCTATTTTTAGCTGCCCAGGGCATATTCAGTTACACGAGTTAATTAGACCAGTCATGCACAAGTGAAAATGTTTGATGGATTATGATAAGACTATCGCCATCACATGAAACAGTTACTGTTGATTATGATGAAAATAAAATCAACTTCTGAGACTGACAGTGTACATCAAATATTTGCCAGGTCTTGTATGTGACAGATACCAGAGTAAAAGGAAGCCCAGCTGTGACATTTACACAGGGTCATGGACTTGATGGGCCATGGGGAATGGTTGCTGGTAAGAAACAATGTGTACGTAACTCATTGGATGTGATGATTACTGTGGCTTGTCTCCAGCCTGCTTTTCTATGCCAAGATGTAAAGGATCGATTGAAAAACAGTTTTCCCATGTACAAGACTTACCCAAATTGTTAGTTAAAAAATTATCAGTTGTGACATATTTAATATTTAAGATAAATTGAAGTGGTTCAATATATTTTTTAGACGTCAAATACCTGTATGTGGCAAGTTTTACTACAGATCAGATCCACAAGTATGACTTAGAAACAAAAAGGTAAAATATGGAATTTATGACTGAAGTCTCAATTGAGTTGCAATTCTATTTAGCAATTGAAATGACAAAATCCTATTCTCTTCTATTCTATAATTTATAGAATAGAAGAGAGTAGGATTTTGCTCTTATTTGTAAAGACAAACAATAATAAGGGGCTATTACAGTACTGTAGGCAATGTTCCTTTAGCACAATTTTGTTTCTACACAAATTGTACTTAAGTCTAGCAAGACTGTGCAATGTCTCCACATGCAACTTGCATGTCTTGCAATGGCAAAACAAAGTTTACATCCAATTTTTATTAATTTTAAAGTAGTATGGTAATGATCAAAGTCTTTGTAATGCCAAATGTTTTGTAAATATAGTTATTAAATTGTATTATAAGATTGAACCTGTTCAAAGTCCCTTTCTTCGTGGTTACGAATTATTGAAAAGGAAGACTGCTCCTGATAGGCTTGCTGTTGGTTTCTATACTAACCTTTTGATATCATATTACAGCTGAACCTCCCGTAGGGAATCACCCAAAATGTCAAGCCACAAGAGCTTAAACCATATTGGATCAAAATTTTGCCTCATTGGCATGTGGTAATAAGACATTTAAGGTGGCTCAAAACAGTTTCCAGCACTTAGATTTTGAGAGGTTGCTGTAACCACTGTTTATCACTTGATGTTGCAATCATGGTATTAAAAAACTGCACAATTATTGGTGAACACATTTGTATTATTTTTGTGGCACAATAGATTACCATAGCAACAGTATGACCTGCTAAAAACACCCTTAATTACAGCTTTAGAAGCTTATAATTAAAAAATGGCAAGGTGAAATATTTTTGTATTATCAAATTTTAACAACCACGATAAGACGTAACTTTTGGGAAAGTCTTAAAATACATAACATAAATAAACTAGTAGTAATCAGAGATTATGAGAGTGCGTTTGATGCTCTCACTTAAATATATATATATATATATAAAGTTAAGATGCTTCGAGCCAACAGGGATGCCACGCGCCAGAAGGATCCAAAAGGATTCGTAGTCCAAACCTCGAGTAAT